AAATACGCATACATATATACGCATACTTAACATAATATGCTCGGATATATTAACTTCAAACTTATTTGTTTAAACGTTTCGCGATCGTTTAAGCCATGGCTTCATAATAGCGCACCTTGAATTTGTTAATAGCTAATGTAGCTTTCGCTAAAGCAAGAGAAAAAAAAAAAGCAGTGGACTTCTTAATCCATTGTGATCTTATTATGTAAATCTATTGTTATGCGCAATTTATTTTTAATTATTTCTAATTAGATTACAATTAAAAAAACGCATTCAATTGTTTTGATTGATGGTTGGTTAAGCACGTGTGGTTAGACATATTCTATATGACTACACAGCATCCAAAATAACAATACTATCAAATTAAATTTAAAAACGATATTAATTTCGATTATTCATTATAACGCGTTTCATGATAACGGCTAATAAATAATAAAAACAAAAACAAAAAAAAATATATAATAATAATAATAATAATAATAATTATTAAAAAAATTCACAACATGAATTAATTTATGAAACAAGAAAGTTATGTTCGCTCAACTGCCAGTTAAAAAGTTTAATTAGGAAAAAAATCAAAAGAAAAAATATACCATTTATTTATTGGAGTAGAGATGGCCGGCCACACACGACAACCGCTGTTAATACGTAAATAGTTTAGTTAGAAATAACTGCAATATTTAGACTCTGCTCGCTTTTAATTAATTCGATCATTAAGACCATATGAGTAACGAGTACGACATATCGACATACGACTATCGACTATAGAGCATCGAAGCATATTTCCATACATAAAAACAAACTTTTCAACTGTTCATTGGTATCGAAATTGTAATAAATCAATTTCCCGCAAAACAAGGTGCCTACAAATTTATTCTATATATACTACATATATATATATATATATATATATATATATATATTTTTTATTTTTTGTTTCGAATGCGTTGCACTTTACATTGTTGGTGCCCGCTTAAAAAAGAAAAAAGAATAAAACAAGTAAGGACATTATGGTCGGTTCGACCGTCACATCGACTGCGACGCCTGTAGATGCAACGACAACGACGTGGTGCGGCCTGTGCTTGTGTATTTGCAATTGTAGTTTTGTGTTTATGGATTTGTACTTGTAGCTTTGCAGCTGTGCTTTTTTAGTTAAGGCTTCGTGGGCATAGGGACTATGTAGTTGTGATTTTAGAATCGTAACTTTGCTATTGTAGTTTTGCGTTTGCGGCTTTGTAGTTGTAGTTTTGTAGTCATAGCTTCGCCGATGTAGTCTCGCGGCAGCAGCTTTGTGGTATGGTTGTGGTTTTTTGGTTGCAGTTTCATGGCTGCAATTTTAGAAATAAGAGTAGAGCAATAGATGTCCCGACCGAGACATCGACGGTGTTCACGTTTTCTACTCCTACTTCTCTCTGTTTCTATTTATAAGAGCGGAAATAGACGAACAAACGTCGCAGTCGCGATCGCAGTGGAAATAGGTGTAGAAGTAGAAATAGGAGTAGAAATAGAAATTGAAAAACAGATATCATGACCGCCATTTCTATTTCCATTTCTACTTCCCACTGCTATTTCTATTTCTACTAGTATTGCGACTGCGAATATGCCGCCTAAGATAATTATTCACTCGTTTTGATAATAATACACCAAAAATTACACATTATGTACTCACGAGGGCCCCTATCCACGTTAGGGTCTGCAAAATAGACCTGAGCGATCCAAATTCCCTACCGTTAATGTTTTCGTTAATTTACTACTATACACCAGTTTTCATCAAAAAATATTAAAAATTGAACTTTTTTCTAAAGTGCTCAATAAGCATGAGAAATCTTATATGAAGGGGGGGTCCAAGAAATGGTACCACGTCGTTTGAATTCGCCCACTTAACGTTTTTGTCAATTTACTATTATGAACCAACTTTCACCATAAAATATTAAAAGTTAGACCTTTTTACCAAAATAAATATTCAGTTTTCGTAATAAATGAGAGGGAGTTGAAAAAATTGCTCCAACCAAACCAAGCTTTTGGTACCAATTTAGAGTGTCAAAATACTATTGCCCAGTGCGTTTTGTCGAATAATTTTGAAAATTGCAAGTTTTTCCATATAACGACTTTGCGAAATAAGGCGCTATACGGGGAATGATTAAAAAAGTGAATCGATTCAAATCATTTTTAATAGCGTTAGTCTTTGGGTGTAAGAAGGTCAGTGTACCGAATTTCATCAAAAAATATCTCAAAAGTTCCGATTTTTAGTTTGAGCACAAAAATAAATGGACAGACGGACGGACGGACGGATAGACAGACAAGTATAAAATCCTTTTCTGAATTGGTCGGTATAATAAAAAGTGCGTCTGCCTTAAGCCTCTCTGGGTGTTACATACGTCCGCACAAACTTAATGTACGCTGTATCGTACGAGTTATGTATGGTATACAAAAAAAAAAAAAAAACCTTAAAAAGGCCTTAATGAATATGAGTTTTTATTGATATTTGCACTTCAGGGTCATCGGACCACATTCAAATTTAGCTATAACAAGTTTGATTACCAGGAATACACACATGTACGCAATACACACAAACAATATAAATACATATCCAGAATTTTAATGCTCATCAATGTCCTAACCCGAAATCTTACAAAACAAAAAAAAAAAAAAAACAAAAAAACTTCCTGTATAAACTAAAACGTATAACCTTCTAATTTCCTTACAAGTATTCCAAGCTATTTACGCGTCCTTGTATGTTTCTGCTTAACATTTTTGGACGAATCATGTGATGTCGTAATCGCAGCAAAGAAAAATAAGAAAGACATAACGTACAAACTGAATTTAACCTCTTAATACCACTACTCTTGAATAAAAACCTGTAGCAATATATCATTCAACTTAAGACGAATCCTGGATACCTATCCGCAAAAAGCGAACTGATTAATGTCCGTCTACCTATCTTCTCATTGAAATCATGATTATAAATTTAAGCAACAATTTAGGAAAGGCATGGAGAAGCAACGGTCCGCGATGACGTTACATCGCTTCAAAATTTGAAATAATTCAACGTACACGTAGTAATGCTACAAATCAATTAAATCTGACTTTCACTGCCACTTCAGCTGTACAATCATCAAATGTGAGTGTGCCTAAGTGTCTTCTTTTATTCATTAACCCATTAAATTGTCGACTTAAAAAGAAGGAAAATTTATGCAGCAGAGCGTTTTTTTTTTTCTTTTAAATACTTCAATACCTTGAAATACTTATTTACAAATAAGATAAGGCTGTAAAAACATGATAATTTGGAAGCACTTTTCCCTGTTGATGGAAAAGAAGAACTTTTTCTAATCATTACTATTAAGCAAGAAACCGATCCATTAACGATATGTTGATAATTTCTCTTTTCTTTTCTAAATTATATAATCAAAAAATTTTGTTTAAATAATAAATTTTGATTTTAAATGATCTTATTAATCATTATTGGCCTACCAATGTTGAATTCAATCAATCAAATCACTCTAATAGTTCCAAAACGCATTATATTAATATAATAGATTCCAAAGATTGCATTGAGCTAGTAAACCTTCATTTTATTTTGATTAATTAAATGACATACACACATATTAGATAAATCATGGATCGTGAGAAATTCAACTTACGACCTTTTTCTGCATGTATTATCATCGATGTTTCCCTAACACGAACTAGACGGCGGTATCAAGTCATAATTTTATGCCGATCAGTATTTATATACTAATTATGGGGGGTCTATAAGATTTTTTGCTGAACAACTAAATAATTCTAGCATTTGCTCCTTGGATAATGAATGAAGAAATAAGACTTATAAGTAAGAATAAGTAAGAAGTATAAATGGAAGCATTACAAGTCTATTATGACCGCACTTCATCTTCAAATGATGATATCCTAAAGCAAACATATACATGCGCACTCGATTTTTCTATAAGTTTGTAACAATTTGTGACTCCACAAGTTTTGTGTATGTACGTAAGATTCTAAATCGACTTAACCCAGCCCGCCTGCATGTCTGCTTGTCTATCATCTATCAACAACATCGTCATAAGTAAGCTGAATTATGACATGTAGCCACGATAGGCACGAATCGTATTGAGAAATGGGAATAGTTGTGGCCGGATCATTCGTACATTGAAATTTCAAACTTTCAGGATAGATGAACAAAACTATAACTTGCAATTAATTCACTCTCATCAAGCGTTTACGAAAACCTAAAGTTGTCAGGCGGAAAAATGCAAGTGATCAGCCTATAAAGCAATAATGACAAGAACACAAAATCATAACTCAACTCAACATCATACAGTTGTGATTTACAGCTTATGCGAGTTAATGATTTAAAATCTGGAAAAATTGAAGTTTTTTTTTTTTTTTTTTTTTTTTTAGGACCAGCTGGGCAGTCAGTAACAAAATGATTTTGATTGAACAGCACGCGCATATTTTATAAAATATTCGAATTCTAACAGATTAGTTTGAGATGGTAGGTATGAAAAATTTCTCCAGCAAAATTGAAGAGAAATTTTCTCTTACCTTTTTCTTTTTTTGCAAAGAAAATTCTCTTCATTTAAGAATTACATTGAAAAAGAGCTTTGTTGAATTGATATACAATTGAACATAAAAAAATGCAATTCTTCGTAAATTTTCGTTGCGATAGCGACGAAGCTTTTTCAAATTTTTGATTCAAAGTTACAGCTAGTCAGCGCCTCGCTTGTTCTATATATATAGATAGAATAGAAGTTTTATCCTTGTCAAAATTGAGTGATCAAGTTGAAACTTTAAACTCAAAACCATTTTATTTACACAAGAATTACGATGAAGGGATTTACTATTTTCCAGATAGATAATATTAGTATGGCGCTATTCCTTGTCACTTCAGTCTATTATCATCTTTCGAACGAAAATATATAAAAAAAGACAAATAATTTCGAAATTTAAAAGATATATGTGTGTATACCTATTCGCTTTATTGTTGTTTATTATAAAAATACTGATTTCGTGCGCATTGATAATTTAATACCATTCTAGTACATTATTAAATAAAGTATCGTCTATACTCACAGACCACATCGAAATGTTAATCTGTTGTGTGTGTGGCACTCTTTTCTTAGTGCATGAAAAAATGCACTCGCTTTCTTATCGCGGAAAAAGTATTTCAATTGCTTGAGCATACATAGCCCGTATACAAAAACATTATTCAGATTATTATTAAATTAAAATTATTAATAATTAACGATTATATATACTATGTATATCTTATATTTCAGCCCAAATTATGGGTAAGCAAATAAATATTACAACGTTGCAAAATATCGCAAAATGCCGCGTAAAAAGCGTATTATTTGCTCAGTAACTTAATGCCCTTAAAGAAAATCCTTCTCTTATTTTTGCGTTTTTGTTGTCCTCATTGCTCCTTTGTTCCCTTGGCCGATACGCATAAAAGTATAGAGTCGGAATTTTGAAAAAAAAATTGTCATTAAGAATTTTAGAAGCAACATCACCGAACCTCCTTAAATTCGTCAAAACAAAAGAATCTTTATAAAGCTTTGTGAAAATAAAAATAAAAAATAATAATAATAATAATAATAATAAGAAATAAAATAAAGTATATGGAATATGCGGCAAAAAGACTGCATTTTCGATGCTGAGCTTATGAATGACTTAAATATGTTTTTATAGTAAACAAAGGCAGGCAGGCCCTTGGGAAGTGTATATTGCTTTTTAATTAATTAATTGGCACATTAAAAATCGATTCAATCTGTTACTCCCAAGTGCACTAGTTGCTGCATGCAACGTTGCAAATATGTGGGATCTGGGAACATATTGAATTGCGTCTTATGGTCAACGCTATTCCAAATGACAACGTCTTCGCGACCAGTTGTCACTGAGCGGCCAATGGAAAACAATAAGCGACGATCAAAAGCAATTTTAAGAAAGCGCAGCACCTTCCTACCCAATGGGCAGTCAGGTAAATAGCAAATACGTGGAAATCCAACTGCAAAAAAGGCACGACCTGGATGCGGATGTTCAGACGTTTGTATACCTGATACAATGCTATAAGAAAAACAATTGTAATTAAGAACAAAGGGAAAAGAGCCGACAATATCTTACTCATAGACAATTTGAATCGTGTTTTGTCCTTCATGGCCGGGCAAACTTTTACTTATGACACTCCAAGACATTGTGCCACTAGGTTGATTGCCAATTTTTTCCCCGTAAACAATACCACACACGGGACATTCAATAAAAAGATTCTAGAAATGAAAAAAAAATAAATAAAAGAACGCCAACTATCGAGCCGATTACCTTATTTAATTCATTTTGTTGGGCTATAATCATGCCATTAAGGCACTGTAAATGCATGAGGTGTTTACATCGACTCAAAGCAATCGCTGGATTTTGTACGTTATGAACTAGTTCTTCCATGCACATTGGACATGGCTGAGCATTCGGCCATTGTGGTGGTTCGACAACTTTAACAAAGCGTGAGATCATGTCACTGGCCGGATCTACGCCAACAATCAATCCATTAACTGATTCCTTCGCTGATGAAGCACCTTGCGAAGTTATTGTTGCATTGTTGGGTAAGGGCGGTGGTGCTGGTGCTCTTTCTGTTGAACTCATGACAGGCGTTGCAGATAAAGCAGGCACAAACACTTCATCACTGCCCAGAGAACAATCTAACAAGTCGTTTACAGATATTGCAAAAGTACGACTACGTAAACTGTCTTTGCTTTCATGGCTAAGATAAGTGGAGACGGTGTCAACACTGGGTCGCCGATGAGATTTAATGCTATTCGAATCCGTATCGGATGCGCGAGTTCGTGAGCGGGATCTGTGCATAACAACCCTTTTACTGCGTTGTGATTGTAACGATCCTTCCGAGCAACGACTGTGATGACTGCTTATTGAGGCATTGAGTATATTTTTGGAATGGGGAAAAGCCTGCACATGATTGCTCATAGCTGGTGCTGCATTATTTATTGTAGCAGCATTTTGCTTTGTATTGCTACTGCCGAATATGTTAAGATTATTAAAAATTTGTCGCAAATTTGTTGCAGACAAATCACCACTACGCTTATTTGCCTTCCGGCTATGGCCATGCGATTGTGTTGGTTGCAATAACGCTGTTCTTGTCGATGTATGCTGCTGACGATTGCCATGCGATGCATTAAACGTTGTCGCACCATTAACGGGAATTCGTTGTAAATGTTTATTATCTTGTGATTTTGCTCTTAGCTTTGGCAGGGTATTATGGCGTTTAAAACCATATTCGAAGGAATTTCTCGCTGTAAGTATAATTTTTATATTTTTCATTGTCAAATTACATAACATTAGTGCAATCAATTTAAATTCATTATATACCGGTTAATTGAGCCGCTTGTTGAGGGGTTAATTTAACCAACGGATAAGGCGCTTGTTGGGTTCGCCGAATACTACGAATTGGACCACTAGGTTGTCTCTTTTGGGTGAGATTGCAAAAGTTTATTGTATATGGAAGACCAAGTATATTGAGTAAATCTAAAGTTTGTTCCCCCTATAAATAACAGATATTCGCAAGTTAATTTCTTCATCTTTTATTAGTTATATATATATATATATATATATATATTATTTACTTTCGTCCAAGAATCTTCTATAATGCATTGAACATGCATATTATAAGAATGCCAGTCATCAACCATTGATCCCGCCCATTCCCATTTGGTTCCCTTTCCAGCCGGAGTGCCGGGTAAATAAAGCATGCGTCTAACACCTACTGTCAGTCTCCCTGTATCTTCTTCGGCCTCTTGTGTCATTGTTCTAACATTGACGCAATAGTTTTCTAAATTGGGATCGGCATCGCTAAGCAAGACGCGGGTCAACTTTTTGGCGTGGGCACGTTCTAGGTGCTGGGAAACAGCAGGACTGTAAGGCAACCAATTGCCACCTCGTGATTCATATTCCCACACCACCACAGCATGCGTGTTATTTGGCACAATAGCATTAGCTGAATTTAGCCCCGTTATCCCACTATTTGAATTATTAGCACTGCCACCACTACTGCTAGCATAAGCCATGTTATTTTAGCGACTCATGGAACCTTCTTTTATTGCATATTATATATAATTCGTATATAAACGATATATAAATACTGTCAATAATTTTAAGGGCCCTATTTCCATAAGTTTTTCTCTTCACATTTAATCAATCAATTCACCTAACTGGCAGATTTCGATCATAAAATACAGCGCGAAAACAATTATAAAAAGTAATATATAAAATTATTTTTATTTATTGTTTTATATATTATATATAAAATTGTATATAATATCTTGAGCAAAGTAAAATTGCACATACTAAACTAAAAATAAAAATCTAAATGCCCGACGAGAATTTATATTCGATTACTAAACATTATTGTCAAATGTTAGAAATTTATGGTAAACGTGGGCAATACGATCGCATTAAGAGTGCAACCATCATTAACCATCGATCGACATTTGGGGCATGGGGGATATGGGGAAATGAGAAACTTCTCCAGGTTAAATTTAACAACCCTGCCACTGAAGTATCTTCAAAGTAAATTAACAAGCCTGCTTTTGTATTATCTTGAATTCGACCACATTCGGGGCTTGAGGGAGCCACGCAATGAAGCCGCACTTAAATACCCAAGTGGAGAAATTGATTTATAAATTTACAACATATTATTTATAGTTGATGTACATATAATTTGCAAAGCTAGAAAATACATAAACTTAATGAAATTAATAAATTAGTTTCTTCCCCACACCTGTATATATAAGCGCGATTAAAGCACGAATATCAACTCCCTTAGAGCTCTGAAATAATGCGTTCTGAGACCCAGGAACGCTGACATAATAAAGCTGAGGTGGGAATTGAACTTTCTCAATCATAATAATCTCTATGCAATTATGCAAGAGAGTAGAATTTTTTGAACGTGTATTGCAAAATTGATTCTTTACTTATTGCTTGCAGCCTCCGATGTTAAATAAAAATGGAAAGTACAATTTTTAGGGATATGAATTAGAAAACTAGCAGGGTACTCACATTTCTGAAAGTTAACTTTTCTTTGTGATCAAGCCGGTAGTTGACAATCGTTTTTGTTGCGATCACGTAAAGTATTCGTGTATTTTTCGTTGCTACCGTTCATAAGCAAATGAAAAAGTAGAAAAGAAAGCAAATTTTTGCTTATTTTTATTTTAGTTTTGAATGCGATGTTACAAACATGAATTTCTTCAACTGATTTAAAAGATTGGATATTTAATTTACTCATCCGAATAATTGGATATTAATAATGGTTTCGCATCTTAAATATGCTGTTAATGTAAATACTCTTCATTCCAGTTGGTTTTATTTTCATCCTGTTACATATATAATATATGGGCATCGTTATATTAAGTGACGAATAGAGTTTAATATCTAATGAAGTGAGAAACTGACGTATGTGGATGCATTTAAACACTTCCGAGGAAACTTGTAAACGAACACGAAAAAATCCCAATTTTACAATAATGTTAAGTAATATTCTATTTTCAAATTATTTTGTTTATTTTTAATTATATACAAATAGTTTAAAAGTGATATAAATTTTAAATTTTGGATTTTTCATTATTGTCCAATTTGGAACTCTCTATAGCTTCGCGAAGTATGTTTAATATTAGATCGGCTCTTTCTAAAGTGGCATTTTCGCCCATTAAACCGATGCGGAAAACATTGCCAACAGTAGGCCCTAATCCACCACTAATTTCCATGCTGTACCTACCAAAAAATTTCACAAGCATAAATTTATATATATATATGTATATAAGTAATTAATAGAAATATTACGTACTTTCTCATAATATATTCGATAACTTTACGCCAATCTATACCAAAAGGCACTTTTATGGTGGTTATAGTTGGCAGTCTTTCACTGGCATTTTTTACGAACATTTCTAAGCCCAAATCTTTGAGACCTTTTTGCAATCGATAAGAGCATTGCTGATGTCTATGGATAAATGCTTTTAAGCCTTCAGCACAAACTTGTGCCAAAGCTTCTCTAAGGCCATATAGCAGTGTAGCAGATATTGTGTGATGGTAAATAATAGGCATATTAAAACAATTCCAATATTGCCCAATAAGCAGGATATCAAAATAATAAACTTTTACTTTTGTCTTACGAGCGTTTATGCAGTCAATAGCACGCACATTTAGCGAAATCGGTGTTAGGCCAGGCGGAGCACCTAATGTCTTTTGAGAACCAGTAAAAGCTACATCAACAAACCATTCATCCATGAAAAAATCGGTGCCGCCCAGCGAAGCAATCGTATCAACAATAAAAAGACAATTATATCGACGACAAATTTTCCCGATATCTTTGAGATTCGATTGTAAAACTCCTGTAGAGGAATCACCTTGAACCGTAAAGAAAATTTTTGGTTGATTATATTTAAATGCAATTTCAATTTCATTTATAGTTAACGAATGCCCAAGCGTCGTCTCCACTAAACGTACATCTCCGCCGTAACGTTTTGCTATATCAGCTGCACGGTGTCCCCACAACCCAATACATGCCACTAAAACTACATCACCATCTTCAATTAAATTACATAGCGCCGATTCCAAGCCGCTATGACCAGAGCCGCTTATACACATTGTAGCATCGTTTGAGGTTTGAAATATATATTTTATTCCTTCTTTGATTTCGTTCATTATCTGAAAAAGAGTAAGGGAAAAATTGTTATCGATTCGTTTTCAACTATTATCGTTACCTGCAAACACTCTGAATGTAAATGACCGATCACCGGATTGCTGAGTGCTGACAAAACTCGTTGTGAACAATTAGAAGGTCCCGGACCCATTAAAGTTTTAATTGGAACGAATAGAGGTCGTTTTAAGACCAAAGGCGGTGGTATTTCCATAATTCGTCTTCAGTTAGATTTCCGCAATATAATACATTAATATATAAAATTCATATGACTTTTGTTTTTTTATTTCTTCTAAAAAAATCCACTCAATCAACTTTTTTTTACTTTTATTATTTAAAGAGATCTTAATAAATGAGATGCTTGCAAATTTTAAATCAGAATTTATAGACTGTTCTTATCTGCTTTCCTTTGTATAGAAGAGTACATACCTATATTAAAGTTCACTGATAATGGAGAAAAGTCACACAGTAAACAGACTTAATCACATGAGAGCGCTGAATCGCGCTGAATCGCGAAATTTATATTTGGATGATATGTAAGCATATATATTAACGATGTCAACATTTTCTCAGATGTGTATTTAATTGTGCGCAAGCAACAAATAGCATTAATCATTTATATCAAAATCACAATATCAAAAAACGATCAGTTTGTAATTCTCATTGCTGAGCTAACTCGATGGAGAATTTGCATTTCGGGTTCGGGAATTCTCATTATAGAGCAACGGTTAACGAGAATTGGATTGATGAGGCTCGTTAGCGCATGAATTTATGTTGGAATTAAAGTAAAATGTCGTTACAAAAGCATACATTTCATAAAATTAATGTATATATAACGAAACTCCAAAATGGAAAAAATAAAATTAATTAATTATTTTCGATGCGTTCGCCTACTGGTAAAATTGATCATAAAATGATTGTGGAATAAACGAAAAAAAAATTCCTGGCCACGACAAAAAGTGAAAGTATATAGGATTATAAGAAAGCACTTGACAAGTTTTCTGCAAATATGACGGCATTCAATGCGTTTGTCGCGTGAAATTAACTTTTTTTTTTTTTTATATTGAAATTCAACTGTTAAATATATTTACTTGCTAAAGTTTGTATTTTGTTTATTAAACTTGGATGGATATTTTTTGTTTAAGAGATTTTGATATTTTTTCAAATTTCATATTTCGTTTATTTCTTCTTCTTCTTCTGTTATTCTGCAAATCAATAAATCAAAATTCTCTGAGATGTGTAAAAAAGGCTTAATGTGAACATGAATGTGTTCTTTGTTTGGGCCTTAATAAAGTTCGGTTTAGATTTGATATATAATATTATTGTTTATTTATTTTAGTATTTACTTGACTAAAGTCTTTTTAATTTTGAGTGTTATACGTCCGCTACGTTATTTTTATTAAAATATGCGTATCACTTATCCGCCGCGTAGGATAGATTAGAACAACGAGAAGTCAATTCCGTTGTACATGTATATAAAGTGTCACATGAAGGAATTGATGAGTGTGAGAGTAAAAAAGTGTAAAAGAGAGTAGGTTCATAGTTTGACTGTAAACACTTACATGACACTTGATGACATGATTTAGAAAAAGAAAAGATTGCGAAGTAAACTGTTAAATTGTGAGAACGCAGAATGTCAAGGATGCTGTGGTCTCGAAGATCACATATATTCAATTTGTGAAATGTGGAATGGCGAAGAGAAATGGTAACAGTCGGACAGACAAATAGAATATGATCAAAAGATTGTGAGACTCAACATGTACATAAAGGATTGTTGTCACGTCTGAGTTCGCAATCGATAAACCAAGGGGCTTTATTTATGTGTAAAAATGAAGAATATAAGCGACGACCGTAAAATGAATTATTCCATCGCTGTCGCCAAGAAAAAACTGATTGCTTTTTGTCAATTGTCTGCAGAAATCAGAGAACAATAATTAAAATGAGATGATCGGGACGATGCAATTTTATTTGCAGTGTTGTTGCCAAGAATATCCTTGTGATTGAGCAACCAGAGAAAACAAAATGTATCAGACTTGATGTGAGTTTGATCTGAGGCCGAATGATTCTCAAAAGATAGAATTTTATTAGATGAAAAATTGGCGAGTAAACGAGATCTTTCTTGTAGAGGCATAGCATTTGCCATCTGTTCTGGGCTTAGCGTGTGCGTGGATTTCATGCCACCAAGAGCCAGACGAAGGCATTTCCATTGGATTCTGCATAATTTCAGATGGTCCTTCTTTGAGATGTCCAATAAGCGTTAACAAGTATATTCTAATTTTTGTCTGACTAAGCCATAGTCATACAAAAATGGTCAGAGGCCCAAGAAATCCCACAAATGGATTTCAGTGCGTTAATAATTTGAAAACGTTGTTTGGCAATTTTGTCAATGTGACCTGCTGGAGAAAGTTTCGAGTGTAGGACAAAGCCTAAATGGTCGAACATTTTAACAAATGGAATAGAAGACCGATAAATGAAAAGAGGAGTAACAGTAGCGTCTCCCCCCGTTTTTTTGAGAAAACCAAGCATTTGGTCTTATTAACTGAAAGTGTGAGTTGGAGTGACTCAAGCCGAGAGGAAATAATGTCGAGCACAGATTGCAAAGTACGTCTGCACAGATCCGGATCAGAGTTCGAACTAAAAATGACAAGGTCGCCAGCATAAGCCGAAATTGAGATTTTCTCAGGAAGGAAAGTGAAAATTTTGTTAATATATAAATAAAAAACAATAGAAGACTCAATGCAGATTCTTGAGATTACAGAATTTGTAGGTAGGGGGATCCAAAGGGAGGAAAATAGAATTTAAGATGTTAATAATAACAGCCAAAAACCAAACTGAAAATTGCTGAGGATACATGTAGATTCGAGATACCAATGTGTACTAAATGTGAGTACAACACTTTCTCCAAAATTTTTCTAATGATGGAAAGTAAGGCAATACATCTGTAGGCATTAAGATTAGTTGGCGAGTTATTCTTTTTTCTCAAAGTGAAGATTTTGAACTCGTACCTGTATGAGAGCATATAGCCGATAATTAAGATATTGTTAAATTCTAACACATTTAAAAATTCAAAATTCAATTCTACAACATTTAAAATTTTGAGGTAACTTTTACGAATACCACCTAAGCCTGGAGATGAGTCTTTTGAGAAATTAAGGACTTTATCGAGTTCAGAGAGAGAGATATGTCACTTAAGAAAAAATTATCTCACGTATAGAGGGGATTATACGATGAGAACGTCCAGCAACCTTGTCATACCCTGTGTGGGTATGGAATAACGAGAGGAAGTGATACCTTTAAAAATTCTCACACTACGCCAAAGATCTGAGATTGACATGTCGCTATTGACATTTTCAAAAAATTCTTTCGAGCCTGAGAGTATAAGCATATTATCTTCCTAACATTGCCCTAAAATTTGAAATTTACTTTAGAAGAAGATCTTTTGCATTTTACAGCGACTCTAAGTTTGGCGACTCGATTCCATGCGGTGTTTCACCAAGGAGTAGGAGGTTTGATTTTTTAGATGAAGAGCTGAAGTTACTTTTATTCTTATCTTACTTAAAATGTATAGCACTACAGCTAATTGTTTTATTCAACTGCCTGAGAAAGAACCTAACTGAATGAATTTCGGCCTATCGCCTTTCGTCGTCAGTTGGTTTGGACAATCAACTATGTAAAACAAGATCTAATCGGCGCCTCTATCGATTAAACTTCCAACTAAATCTAAAACTGATCTACTTCGAATACGGCAACTCTCCCATATTCCATCCTGGTCCCCAACGTAAGCATGAACGATATAATTCTATGTCTGTGGGTCTTATCTGACGGTATTCCTAAGAGAATTTATCAATACAGTAAAAAACTTAATCTAAACTTAACTGTTATGTACATACACATATATGTGGGAAGAAAAGGTAGCTTAACCTGCGTATGGTCCAATAGTTATTCACAAATTGTTTCATATCTGCAGGAAATGCAGGAATTCCTCTAGACTGTGTTAAATTAAGACAAAACAGCTGTTAATTGTTGGTTTTTAGTTGCGTTTATGATATGAAAAATTTGTTGATAACTTATTGCCCTGTAAGAAACTATAATTTTGAACTGATATTTAGTTGATTGCAAAATGTAGTGGAAACAGTAAATGAGAAAATTGTTGTTCTTGGAAAGAGGGAATCATTTTCGCTAACTAACTCGCATGCTGCAAATCCTAACTTCAAACAAAGAAGAATTCAGAAAAGCCGTAACTACCGTATAAGAAATGGAAAATTGCGTTGAAATAGAGACCAATGTAGTGACTTTATATAAATGTGGCGAGATTTTTTATGACATGTTGGCGGCCCAAAATATCAGCATTAGCTTTCAGTGTTCCTTTTGCCAGAAAACTTTTATAGAATTAGATACATTCTTAAAACATTTACAAAGTGATCATTATAATCCATCCACACCTACCGAAGAGTACGGGTCTGGAAACGATGATGAACAATTACAAGAAGAATATCGAACCGAGGAAATTTTTCTTATCTCTAACGATAATGACAGTAAAATACTGTTGGAAAATGTAACCCATGCAACAGACACGAATTTAAAAGGAAAGAATGTCAGCGATGATCTCGAAGTGAACAATCTATCATGTGATGAAGAAGAAAAATGTATTAGGCCATCCAAACAAAAACAGCCTGTTAAAAAGCGCGCCACCCGTGAATGCATTTGTCCACATTGTCATAAAATATTCCATAAGGCTTGGTCGTTGCAGCAACATTTAAATACACACGATGGCTACGAGAAGCCATATAAATGTGAGTTTTGTCCAGCAGCCTATGCCAGCAAACAAAATCTCGTAGTTCATGTTAGACGGCATAAGGGAGAGAAGCCTTTTGGCTGCCATTTTTGTGCGCGTAGTTTTACTTCTACCAGCGAACGTTACATACACGAACGGTGCCATACCGGCGAGCGACCATATGTATGCGAGTTTTGCGGCAAAAGTCATACCACTTCGTCCCATTTACTTAATCATCGTCGACTACATTTGGACGAACGCAATTTCGTGTGCGACTTGTGTGATAAACGTTTTAACAAACGCGACGAATTAAAAAAACATCACAAAAATGTACATACGGAAGTGCCGCGTTCTCATGTCTGCCCGATATGCACTGCGGCTTTTAAAGGGAAGACCACATTAAAGGAACATGTAAAAATTCATGAGGAAAAAACTTACAAATGCCAAGAATGTGGTAAAACATTTGCCCAACATTCCGGTTTATATTCACATCGAAAAACCCATCAAAAGCAAAGGGACACGTTATTAAAAGATGTAATGATGATGACAGAGGAGACTATGACATCGTCCATCAAAATAGAAATTCTTGATGACAATGACACTATTTGATTATTCCATATTATCGTAGTTTCCGAGCGAGGTACAATTTAAATCCAATGAAAAACACAGTACGCTATTTTCAGTTTTTTATTTTTTAATTTATTCAGCGGAATAATTGGCGTTTTGTGACGTGAAACAGGATGTCTGTAGAATACAAACTATTGCGTTTATATGCGTCTTCTTTTCAGTTGCCAAATTTGCGCAAATCTACGTCATCACATGATGCTATAGCCGTCTTCTCACAAAAAATTGAAGTTCGTCAGGCACGTTCCCAATCCATTGATTAGGTGTAAAAACGAATTTAGTTCGCTTGTAAATAAATCTATCAAAAACAACCAAAAAAAAAATATATATACTACAAATTGCAGTAAGATTTAAAAAGATATCAAATATCGGTTCGTAATTTACCATAAATATTTGCCAACATATATTATACATAGTTTATATAGGATTTATTACTGAAAGACAGACAGACGTCTCGATATCACATGTAAGAGAGTTAGAAAGTTATATTCGGTTGTGGCCGAATCTTTTATACCCATCACCGTTGTCTTAAAAAGTAAAAGCACTAAATTTTCATACTCTATAATATGGAGTGGGCGCAGCTGAAATTTTCTTTTTTTCAAAATAAAAACTTTTATCGCATGGGCGTGCGAGCATTGTAAATGGAAAACTTTAAGTCGCTTCTAAATTCTTTTGCAAATGTTTACCAAACGTACTCTGCCCTACGGATGTAGAGACAAACAGAACAGGTGACAGGTGACCAGGAGAACAGATTTATTTTTATATTCAGATGCATTCTGAATATAAAATTGGCCAAGAATTTATATATTTTGTGGAGTTTATTAAGCTTATTTCTGCGTCTAATAAAGATATTGAAAAAAAACACAAAATTCTGATGCACTATAGTATTGAATAAACGCACTCAATTTTGTCCATTTTTATGCAGGTACTACAGCATCGCACATAAAATATGCGTTCAAATTTTTATACATTTATCTGCTATAGTTTATGAGTAATAAGCAAGAAACCGTTTTTTTATTCCTTTTGGAAAACATAGGTGTTCTAAGTTCAGGCGGTGCTGCAGGCGTGTTCTTCAATCGATTTGGCCCATTTTCAGTACCAACATGCGCGCAAGAATTTTCAATGTTTATACCAAATTGGAAGTCGATAGCTTCAGTTTTGAGGCCAGACGAATGTTTGCAACAGACATTACACAGACGGAGAGACGGACAGACGGAGATGTTTAAATCGATTCGTCATTTTCTAGTGATCAGAAATATATATACTTTGTCCATGATGCTGTTTTCTGCGCGTTGCAAACGTTATGACAAAATGAATATATCCTTCATCTTTCCGTGGTCAGCATAAAAAGTTGCAAGTGTATTATGGTTTTGCAAAAACATTCGTCCGAAATATCTGGCTTCTTCGAACGATATGCAACTAACTACAATTTCGATATTCTCGAGTTATCTTTATTTGGAAGATGACGAAAAAATCCAAGTTGCGGACAATGAAAGTAATGAATATGAATTTAATTCCCACAATTAAAAAAACAATCCAAGTCTCGTTATGTTTCCTACCTTTCCCGTTGTGGGTTTTTGGTATTCGCGCGCTAAGGTAAATGCAATCATCCCGCATTACTTCTGCCTACAGAATAACGATCGTTTTCCTTAGCACAGATAAAAGCTTCTCCTTGTCGACAAATACGCGTGCGAATCGAACACCACTCTCATTAATCGACATAAATTTATGAAAATCTTGTGGTTGCAAAAGTTGATACGGAAATATAAAATAGGATAGATATATTGTTTTATTTCCAATTTTAAAATTTGGTACAAGTAAGACCCCGTCACTCATTAAGTAAAGAACATGTCGACTAACAAACATAAATATGACTGCCAAAAACGCAACAAAACCTTTTGGCAATTATCAGATTTTTCAAGCTGAAACCACTTTGTTTGCCTTGGCCGGAATTGCCGTAAGTGATATCGTCTTTTATATAAACACACACCACATGTCAGGTTTATATAATTAATAGCAGATTTAAAAGTTTTTCTAATCAACAATTAAGGCAATCCGACTAAGATTTTATACTACATTATGGAGTTTATCTTCTATTTATTGTCTAGAAGTTCTATGCAAGAAAATGTCGAAGTAACCTCCTAAGACACATCCTCCATAAAAAGAAAATACTTTTTATATATATTCACTTAAACGCAATATTTAATCGCGATCAAATAAAATCGGTTCGAGTAATTGAAAGTCTTATGATTTCTGATTTTTTTGGAAAATTTTGAAGGAATTATCCATATCGACTGTTTTTAAAACCTAAAAAATAATTTTATAAAATGTGATGCAATAATGAGAATATAATAGTTTATTGTATTAATTATTTTCAATGAAGATTTCTTTTTTTAAAAATATTGAATATTTTTCTCTTGTTGTTATAAGAATTTTTTGATTCGAATTTTTTATTCTCTTCTAGTGTAAATATTAAAATTTATGACTGAATTAAATAACATCATCCAATCCATAATTATAGTTCAGTTTTAGATATTTTTTTTTTGTTTTTTTATTTTTTTTATTTTGGAGTATGTTTTCTAAAGCACCGCAAAAATGAATCGAAATATCGACCAAACCGTGTACCAATATTTTAGAACTAATGCTAATTATATATATCTACACACATATAGGTATATATGTATGCTTACATTAATGTTTGTAGATATTTGTATATATAAAAACAATTCGGGTACGAAAGATTGCCGATCAGTCTATGATTGAAATTTTAAGTTGATAAAAATTTATGAATCAATAAAATACAAAAAATAAGAACAAAAAAAATTACAATAAGGTCGTCTCTTAGGTTTTGTTTAAATTAAATACGGCCTTATGAGATGATTCCCTGATATGCGTGCGAATAGAGTGTTGAGTGTGTTGAGTGTTCTCATGTGTCACACAGTTACGGGTTTTCTTTTTGATTCCTTTCTTAACATTTTAATATCTTTGATTAATGAAAAACATCCATAAATGGAAATTGTGCTTGTTCGGGATCAAGCAGGTCAATTAGAAAGCAGACCGTACCTGCTACACCTTCGAATAAGCTATGCGGGCGATCCGGAGTACGAGCCCGTTGCTTGAATTCCGAGTTAGTTAGCAGTTCCATATACTTGACTGCCCGATATAAGTATTTCGGCTCATGTGTTAAACGATACAAAAGCAGGAACACATAACCATTACCGGCCACACCATGACAAATGCCGGGACCTTTACGTAGGAAACCCTTATTCCATACCAAATCTGATGAACGCCGTAGGGCCTGCAAATACTTTTCCTCCTTAAAAATAAGATAAGCCTTGGCCAATAAATAAACGGCTCCCGGAGCACCATGACACCAATGTACCAAACGTTTCTCACGGCCACTTTTCAAGTCCTCCAAAGCAACTGGGAAGTTGCCCTCGTCGTCTTGCAACATTAAAAAGAAATCAATAGATTTTTTAATATCCCTCAGTTCAGCGCTTGGAGCAGATATAGGGTCTGTCCTAAACCAGGGGCTATCTAAAAGCATATGCAAGATAGCACAAAGACCATGAGCTGCACCCAAATATTCTGTGCCATGATATTGATACATTAGAGGCAAAGGGGCTTTTGTTTGTTTGGCATATTCACGACCACTGGCAATAACCATTTGACAAATGGAAATCAAATCATCATCGGTAATTTTCTTTTCCGGCATTACATCATTCAGCCAATAACAGCCGGCCAAATAGCCAGCACGACCTACCAGCACCTCATCGCAACCATATTTTGTATGCAAAAATTCCTTACTAGATGTAATACCCGCCTTGAAATTCATTAAGTCGTCACTTAGCTCCTGCATTAATTTTAAGTCATGAGATATGGCTGCCGACACGGCATATATACCAGCATTACCACACAAAAACGAAAAACGTTCAGCTGAACGTTTCTTATAACGATCCGCATTCGCTTTAGCATTACGTATGAAACCATGAGCATGCTCCAAAGCCGAATATAAATCTTGTGTCCGTGGTGAGCGGGACATTTTCCAAAACATATATGCAATGCCAGCATTGCCTACATATAGGTCGCCTCGCATGTCCTCATCGTCGCAACCAGGACTACAGTGTTCTAAAATAGCATCTACATATGTACAAATAAGATTCTTGATATGCTCTTCATCGAATTCATACGATGTACTCTGGGGATTTACATAATCCGGAAATGGATTTGACAAATAACGTTTCTCCATTTCTTCTGTGGCCAATATTTGTAGATTGGTGTCTATAAGAAACAAAAAAAAAAAGAAAAAAAAAAAAAATGAAAAAGCGATCGATATCCTAACTTTCCTTTTTTTATGGTAGTAAACGTAGGGGTGCGGTCTATCACACCCCTCCGACTAAGAATTGTAAAACGTTAGGTTTAACTTGCCTGGGGGTTTGGTGGCACTTGTGCTGTATAGACGATAGCGATTTTGTTTAATCCAATAATACTGTAAAGTAAAATATATACTTTTAATGCATCAGAAAAATTTTTTTAAAACCTTTTAAACGACTTCGCCTTTTTAACTATTATGACAGTAGAGACCGACGATTGCTGTTGATTTGAAAAAACAAATTTTTTCAATGTCAATATTACTATTTACTATTACACCTACTGCCAGAGTTGCAATTTGCACCTGAACGGCAGATAATAGAGTTTGCTCTTTTCTGTTCTTTATGAACTCTATAGGACGGAAGGTATTCAAATCCAAAAAGGTGACCAACTGTACTCCTTTTGGTAACTTTCTAATTCTATTCTGAGCACTTTCAAATTTCTTTTATTCTTGAAAATATATAAACAATTATTGTACGAAACATTGTTTATGTTCGAGGGCAAAAAGTTTTCAATTATACGCGGATATTGTAACACTGGAATCATCCACGTTTGTTGTTCAATGAAAAAGCATGACTGGACTTTGTTATCAGGAAATCACATAAATTTTGTGAAAATGAATTTCTGTGCCTATAAACTCTTTCTATAAATATTTTGGAAATTGAAGTGTTGCGCTCATTGTGTAAAATGGCATTCCATAAATACTAGTTGACTTGGAAGCCATAATTTAGTATATATAAAACATAATTAATATTTAATTTCTTTAGGTTTTGACTAGGGAGACAAACAATTTTGTGAAGCACTTGAAAAAGGAATTTCTGCGAATTTTCTCTTGAATTTTTGTTACAAAATTTGCAGTAGATATGTTAAAAAATGGTCGCCCTTCTTTTTTTAAATATTATTAATCGTTAAATTATATATTAAATTGTTATTAATTATTAAATTAATTTAAAACTATTAAATTTAACTAATTATTATTATTACTATATGAAGATGAAAGATGTACAAACTTAAATATCAGAGTAATCAATAATTTTGCCATTATGCGAAAACTGCATAATTGGGCGCAAAACACCATGACACCGCAGACGCTGTACGTAATTAAAAGCCACTCGTAATTTTTTTTCTATAAAAGACAGATGGTCGCTTTATTACGAGACTTACCCGTAATTACTGTTCTCAATACATCATTTACAAATAATTTAACATGATCAATATTCGTTTATTATAAAAATTCCTTTGACACATAATAGCATTCATAAATAATTGTTGCGTTCATGTAATTATTCTAACTCATTGCTGCCATTAATAAGTTAATAGCATTCTCTATATTACCATTGGCTAAATTCAAATAGTTGAGGTTCTCATCATGATTCAAGAATCCCATTTGAGCCATTGTCCGCAACTGTTCGGAGTATTGATGTGTGCGATAAACGAGCGGTATATCGCCATCGTCCTCGTTCACAGGATTGTTACTATCAGCCCCACCTGCTGGTAAATTGATGGAAGAGTCCTGTTCCAATGTATCCATGGCAACTGAGTCTTGAGTGCTTGTAGTACTAGAGCGTTGTTCAAAAGAATCAAAAGCCCTTTGTAATTGACTGCGCAACATGCTCGTCGATAAACGTTCATCGCTCGCAGAACTAGTGAGAGGAAGAACACCAGTTTCGGTGGCAGCGTTTGAATTTTCTGAGTTTCGCTGAGCTATATTCGTTAAAGAGTTAACAGATCCGAAACCGATTTCCGCCAAAGCTGCTTGCAATTGCTGACGACTAATAATACGCAAACGGGCACTGTCAGATTGATTGCGATTCGTTGTTGACGACTCATCACGACTGCGTTCATTTACAGAGTTTTCTTCCTCCGAAGAGTTCGTAGAGTCGGTTGCTTGCTCCGAATTGCTGGAACTCTTTGCCAATTCTTTTTTCACCGTTGCAACAATGAAGGGAGCAGCTTCTATTATAATTGGATGATTTTTGGATACCCAGAATATTACGTTAGGTTCATGCAATGCATTAAACAGCACTGAATCCCTTATTAAACTTAAAGCGGCTAAATTTCTTCGAAATTCAGGATATTCAGCTAAAACTTTTTGTAGTATATTCACCCGACAGTTAAGACTGATTTGTATGTTAGCTATGACATTGAAAAGGTCCTGAACTTTACGTATGTGTTCGGGACTGAGAGTTTCCGGTGAAGGCTCATAAGGAACATATTGCTTGGTCTTATGAAAGCAATGCACTGTAGCTTCGGCTTTCAAAACTGCGCTTAAGACAGCGTCATCTTTTAAGATTAGTCCATTATAAATCAGTTCCAATTTATGCACTTCGCTTTTAGTTTTTTCAGCTATTATGTCCTTGAGGTGCGAGACGGACTTTTCCATGTCTACTTTTTGCAAAGTTATAAATTCGTTGGGCTTATTGGGCAGATGTATGCCAGCATACAAAGAGGAATACATACTTTTTACTTTTCGTTACAAATCAAAAATTTTAATATGGTTTTTTTGTTAGTCTGTCGTCTGTTAAATCTCAAATGCGATTTTCTTAATGATTTTTCAATTTTCATCTACACAGCTGTTACTATATTGTACTTAAGACTTTTTTATACAGAGCTGTTAATTTAGTATTATATGTCTTTGAAAATATTTTGAAAAAAAGTTAGGAAATGTTACTATATGATAGGAAAAAGTGTGCATGTAACAAGTCTTTCTACAAACACGAAATTATCAAATATAGGTAGTAGGCTTAGTTTGGCCCTCAAAAGTTATGTTAGTGCTTATGCTCCCTGCTTGGCTCGCTTCAGAGTTAGCCTAAATTCCTCCAAGGACACTTGTTTTCTTGATGAAATTTTTTTGCAGGGATGCTCCAGTATCTACCATACCTACTACGCCTTGAGAAAATATTTTAACGGAAACAAACGGTCCTATATTTTTGGCCAAAAAGAACAACGTGAGTCGTCGTATTCACTGGACTTGGGCCCCTGCGACGTTTTCCTGTTCCCAAAACTTCAAAGACCCGTGAATGGACGGAGTTTTGTGACGATTAAGCAGCTAAAGACCGCATCGCCTGAAGACCTCAGGGCCATACCGTAAGAGCGCATATCAGAAGTGCTTCGAGGATTGGAAAAAGCGCTCCCACAAGTGTATTATATCCCAGAGAGATTATTTTGAAGGGGGCAAAATAGATATTGATGGGTAAACATTTTCCTAGAAAAAAAGATTCTCATTTTTTTTTGAACACACCTATATATATATGTGCTTGCATGAGGACGTGTGCATAAAGAAGCGACCTTCCTGTATTTCTTTCATGGACCCTGCGAACAATTGAAGAATGATGATGGCTTCAATGAATTTTTGGTCAACGTTCTAGAAAGGTAGGTGCGCTCATCGATTATTGGAAAAAAATATGGTCTACATTTCTTTCATTATTTGGTATAAAAATTAGCTGAATTATGTTACAAGATTACACATATGGAAGATATGGAAAATTTATAGATATATGTAAAGAAACATATAGCGACTATTATGAAGAATATGGACACATTATTCTTAAAACGACAGACGTACATATGCATTGAGAGTTAATTGAATTGCAGCTCTCTTTGTGCCATCATGCCTCATCGAATGAAGTATGTGCAAGTATTGGTTACAGCTTTATTCAGTTTTGATATGCTAAAGAACAGTCTGCAACGATTGTGTTTAATGATAAATGCTCTAGTCGTTGCTTTTGAAATTTATCAATTTTGTTAAATATTTCGAAATCAAAAGCAATAACTAAAGCAATGAATTCCTTCATTGTCGTAATGAAATTTAATAAATAGATAGATTTTTGCCGTTAATCCTGAAAGGTGGTAAATCTTCTTAATTCTTTGAGCGGATTATAAGCATATTTTACTTATTTATAAATATAAATTCTCATATAAACTACAACCATATTACTAATTATTCTACTGAATGTTAATGACTACAACAATTTTCAATTAAACAAACATTTTTGTATCGCGAGTCTCAAATATTGAATTTTTTATTTAAATCCCAAAAATTTTTCATACTAGTGAATAATAATCTAGGTACTGATATAACACTTCAATTTCTTTGTCTTTTCTCAATTGCTCTCCATTCGAAATAAATTTAATTTATTTGCGGCGAGTATTACCACCAGCACCGCCCAAAATCATTGCTATACGAATGAAGATATTCAACACATCCATATAAATAGAAATACTCCTATAAATAAACGTAGGCTTGTTTAGTAATGATTGCATGATGATGCTAAATTTCGGTGCACTTACGCATTGACCGGATCGAAAGGTATAAGGCTGTATTCTGGATAAACTTCTGCTATACGTACAATACGTTGCGTGTCGTATAATAGAAAACCACTGAATAGAAGAAGGCCTCCGTATAGAGACATTGAAGCCAAGCCTATAAAAAATAAGAACCAATTTATTAATAAACTAAGTATTATTGTTACTTTTTTTACTTACCCGCTCCTAAGGCGGTAGTAGGTGGCAACCATATACCAGCCAATGAACTAGCCATCACTACACCTAAGCCGATTGCCAAAGGGCCACCCATATATAAAAATTTATCACTAGGTGCGCATACTGCAATAGCCGACAAGCTACCAACTACGCCACCCGTATATAAAGCGGCTCGTGTCAACAAAGGACCGCCCAGAAAACACAAGGGAGCAATAACAGCCCCTAGAACGGAACAATGTACAGCCCAAGCGAGCTGTTTTGCACCAATTCCTTCTTTGTAGGGTATTGATTGGGTTGCGGCACCGGTGCCAATAACTAAAGCGAATGTTGCCAATGTCGACTAAACACAGCATATGTATGAACACAAAGAAAATGCGAAGATAAATTGAGTAAAATAAACTTACCAACCATCCGTTACGTGTGGTTAACTCTAAAAGACGGGGAGTACGGAATACTGCTGCAGCAGATAAGGCTGTTAAAACGCACGATGCACCAAAGTAGCCGTAGGTGGTATGTAAACGATCCCTAACGTATTTAGGCCAAAGTCTGGGATATGAAAGCAGAAATGGAAGTTTAAGACCATATTAAACAAATTGTGATAATTCGCTAAAACGACATCGTTTCATGTTGTTGCTTTGTTTCCAAGAACTCGTTTCTTTGTTACTTACAATGCATTATCTTGTATGCTAGCTTGATGGCTAAGACCCAAACCATAATAACATAGAGCGCCTAAACCAATACCTGCTGCTCCGGCGGCTGCACCTTTACCCATTGAATAAGCTAAACAAAAAGAAGAATTAAAAGAAACAACATTTTAATACCAACACATTGAATAACTACCACTCTCCGATGGTGGCCCCATAAGTTTTTCCTTCAAACTTTGCCCGGTTTTTGTTTCAGATCGTATAGTTGGTGGGGGATCGCGAGGTCCACGCACATAATTACGTACCAGCGCATCTTTATTCTGTGGTTTTACTAGACGAGCAGTTAATAAAGCTTGTTTCAAGTTTATACCGGTACTACCACTTGCCAAGCGGGTTGGGAGTGTAACAGCAAGTCGCAGTAGCATTTTGTAATTGTGATGAAATTCGTGAAATTCGTCTAGCTATAGCAATCAAAATTCAATAAATAAATTACTTATTATCCTTTAAAATTATGTATATGAAAAAAAAAATGTCAAACTTGAAAGATTTTTTCTTTACTTTTTTCTTATATTTTTTTTTTCTCCAAAATTTGAATATTTAAGGAAATTAAATACTACAGGAATTTTAACTTTCGGAAGATTCTAGTGACCTTTTGTAATCAATATGAGTGTGCCGTAGAAGTGCAGAAAATATACAGAACTGTATTTTACGGTATTATTTAGTTTTTAAGAAATGGCCGAAAATACGAGGGTAATTTAATAAATCATATTTTGGTAATTTTGATATCAAAAAACGAAGATACGACGAAAATTGTGTTTATTTATAAATTTGATAAGAAGATTTGTTTGATTTTTTGATAAAAATATTATTATATTTTCATCTGGTTTGTAGAAAATTACCAAATATAAATAAATATAAGTAAAATTGGCTAAATTCGAATTTGTTTAATATATATTTTATATTTTTCAACAGAAAACCAGTCTTGTTTTCTCTATTAGTTGTAAAATCAACGACTGCGAACGACAATCTAAGCGGACAAAACCAGAGTTGATTGTTGCTGTGCAATCGTTTTTAAGATCATTTACAAGCGAATTGGTTGGCCTTTTAAAAATGTGGTTATGATCTAAAAAGTTTTATCTACGTAAACGATTATTATATGCGTTTTCCAAAATGTCCACATTTCTTCAACACTTTGCTAAAATCCTGCAAATAAGAAAAAATCGCTTTTCTAAGTCGTACATAGATTAAAAATACTTTTCATAATATCTTCGCACATTTTGAGATCACTATATGTTCATATGTCTGTTTGAAATATTGAAACTTCAAACTTTAAAAAAAAAAAAAAAAATTATAATAAATTTTCAAATTTTAACGTTAGTTCATTGTGGATCTATTACAACATCCGATCCAAGTTTAATATAGTTTTTCTCTTCTTTCTAGTTTCCTATCCGTTATCTACAATGTATTATTATTAGTTACAATAACTATATAAGAGTTGAATGTTAATTATCATCATTTGATGATGATTTGTTTTATTTGGTCAATTAAAATAATATTTATTTATATCGTAAAATATGGAACGGAAATTATACTGAATTTATGTAGAGATCTTTTTTGTTAGCTTTTTACGTTATTATTGAACATCTGTTAAGCGCCGTTGTGTATACATATGTGCATAGAATTAAAAACAAAAAAAAAAAAACAAAAAACAAAAAGAAACGTTAATAATTCATTAAAATTGAGAATTTTTACTTGTTCGTTTAGATTAAAACGAATTAAATTTAAATAAAATGCCTCAATTAATTATTAATCGCAAATGCGGCGATATAATGATAACAGTACGAAAAAATTCTAAGAAAGTTTTTACATACAACTGTTCATTTTGTGATACTGCTTTCTTACAAATGAAAAAGTTCACTTCGCATTTGGACAAGGAGCATGATAAGCAATTGAAATTAATTAATAAATCAACGGTTGATACAACGGTTGATAAGAGCAAAAATGGTGGAAAGGATATAAGTGAAGATTTAGTTACTAAAGAAGATAGCATTAATAGTATATATATACCGGAAATTAAAATGGAAGATTGTTTGGATGAGGAAATTAAAACAGAAATTATTGAAGAGACTCGGATCACTAGACAAACGGTAAAGGTATTGCGAAAATTATTACAAACAGAATTTTTGCTTTGCCAAAACACGTACTGGTTATGCTTTTAGAAAGAGTCTTCATTTGCCTCAGCAGATCCTTTAGATACATACCATAATGAGATTTCATGTAAAGATGCCACTTTTGCCGCTAAGAAAGAAGTAGAAAATATACAAAAAACTATTATAAAATCAAAATTGAAAAATATGAAATATTTTGCGGAAGATGGCGAGAAAACAAATGAGATTAATCCATTAAAATATTCAATCGAAAATATGGACGACAATCAGGTTAGCAAACAATTTATAATGAAATATAGTAATGCTTTAAAGTTTCTTTTCAAACAGTTTGACGGTGATAGCGATAATCCCAGTGATGTTGAAAATCCCAAATGCAGTGATTATGAGGTAATTTCTATTTTTCTAAAAGTAAGTGAAAGAATTAATTTATCTTCCGGGAAATTTTGCAAATCTCTTCTTCACTATTCATTGCATCGAAACAAAACGATTTTACTATTTAACATTATTTAATATGGGATGAGCGACAAGCGCACGTGCAGAGGCTAAACTTATTTTCTTCCTTCAAATTACATTAGTCAATTGCGGTTAAGCATTATCAAATTATAGTCTTCTTTCGCTTATCAGCCAGCAGGTTGGGCAACCATTTTGCCCACCTTTCGTTTTAATATAAATATTCGGAAAATTCTTTGCTTAATATTCGGAAAACAATTCAAAACTTTCATTTACAAATGCTACAAATCTTTCTCTCCATGTAATTTTTTTTTTTTTTTTTTGAACGGTCAGTCCAAATCGTAACTGTCATTGCAAAACGACGGTTAAAACCTATTCTTCACGGTTTATTTGTGAAAGTTTTAACCATGACAACATTAAACATTCATTCAATTGCGATGTTCATAAGTTTTAGAGTAATTCCACTTATTGTAACGGCCTAATCGTCCCATTAAGATCACTTAGAGGTAGAAAATTCTTCTAAATTTTTTTTTTTTATATCAAGTTCTATATTTTTGAACTATGTTTTTATGAATCCTTTGATTGCAATAAGATTTTCAACCATGTCCATTTTAAAAAGGAACTTTACATAATTTTTACCTTCAATTTGAGCTGCTACATTAGCAGATTGATTTCTAGTTTACATTTGCTAATCTCTAGAGTGATAACTAAAATTACTTATGTATATATATATATATATATATATATATATATATATATATATATTAATTTTTCCAATATTATTATTATATGTCTCTATATTTTGATTTTATGTATAAATAAAAAACAATGTATATTTTCGTATTTTTTAAGCCTGAAGAAGATATTTGTGTCACGAAACGATCACGAAAACGTAAACTCTCAAAAGAAAACATGGATGATCCGTGCATTATATCTATGCTCATCGATTTGTTTGAACCGCATGAATTTTTGTGGAATTCACAACATTCAGAATCCCGTAATATACCATTACGAAGGGATATTTTACAAAATATCACCGACGAGTTAAATGCAAAATTTAAAACTCATTTAAAAATGGAAATTATTAGGAAGAAAATTAATATGTTACGACGCGATTATACACTTGAAGTTGAAAAACGAATGGATCGAATGCTGCAAAGAGAAGAAGCTTCTAATCTATGGTATTACGATAAAATGGAATTTTTAAAACCCACCATTGAATATAAGATAAAGAATAGAAGTGTAAGTTTTAAATCTAATTTAATCGTTGGAAGTTATTATTAACATCATCTTTTGTTTATTTCAGAAACTCAATTCATTTAAAGTGGTAAGTAAACTAGAAAAGTGTTATAGCAGTCGAAGCGATAGAAAGAAAGAAATGCTTTCAAATGGAGTAGGAAAGCATGAATTATTATAATGAATGTTCTGGTATAAGTGTTTAGACAATTAAAAAATTAAAATGGTATCTGCATATGCCGTTATTCGATTTTACATTTACATTAACCTCTTCAGAAGATCATGTTGACAGAATATTCTGAGAAAACATTTGTCCTTCGATCAGTATATGATCTTTAACATTTAAAAAAAAAATGAAGAACACATTCAACCGCATCACTTTGAAGGGGTAGCCATAGCAACAGTTAAAACAAATTTTTCTTTTTTTTTTTTGTTAGCTTAGCGTCGTGAACGTTTTGAATGTTTTAGAAGACGTCGAAAAAAATGTTTTCCTCCATAAGTGTCGAAGTTCTTCTCAAACACTTGGAAAAGCAAATGCTTTGCTGTTTTCTGGTTTTCCTAATCTGGTTACAGACATCGCTAGGAAATTTGTACATAGAAATGCAACAAAGTGACTGCATCTGTCTTCACTACCTCCTCAACTATGCAGCTGTCAAATATGAAATGTGTTAAAGTGCTTTCGTTTTTACATTAGCGCATAGAATGAACGATTTAAAAGGAATGAAAATTGATGCAGAATATCACATTTCCAATAGTAGTGGACCTTGTTTTAGCCATCGCCATGATTTGAAAGTATAGAATGGCATATTGATGAAAAAAGTTTCCCACTTCTGTACTAGGCTGAGAGATATTCGAAAAGTGTCCATGCTTCAACCAAGAAACTAAAAGTGTACATGCAATGAAGACTTTGGAGCTCATTACGAATCCAACTATAGAATTACACATTTTCTTGTGCTTCGAGAAAATGAGATAAGAATGGACATGCAAACTAATTGTGAAAATTAATAAAAAAATTGATTATAATAAAAAGAGTGTATATATAGCATGTCTATAATATGTTTCAAAATATAGACGTGTTTTTCTCGAAACATGTAGCGTGGCTCCAGCAAATCATACTCCATTCTATTAAAATTTTTTACAATTTATCTTTAAAATTAAAATTAATTTAAACATTACTTATTAACAAACACTGCCTATATTTTGTTTGAAAATCATCCCAGATATCGCTACATATAGACATGTATTTATATATATATATATATATACATATATATTTTAAGTTCATCATTAAATTGCATCAGCTGCAGTAGATGCTGAAAAGCTCTCAACATTAAAGATATTTTTTGAATTTTTTTCTAGTATTTACACGTATGCTTCATAGCCCCATAAGTATTATTATTTCACTACTTTTCCTTTCATCCAACTATTTTCGAACGCGTTAATAACGGGTATTAGAAGATTGATTACTTGGGCGAAAAAATTCTGAGCCAAAATGAAGAGGCTGCATTTGTAAATGAGAGCAAAGCCCAGATTGAGATTGGAGGGCAATGGCGCCTCATGGCTTGCTTCAACTTGGTTGGAAAATTAGCTTCACTCTTCACCGGCAACGATTAATGCGATTTAAGCATGCAATTGGCGTAAAGCCGCCAGAAAGCCTCAGTGTGCATACGAAAAAAGTTAACAATCAAATTCACATACATTTGGCTTAATGGATGTTTTTAAGCATTTGAATTGCGGCTAAGAACTTTTGCAATCACTCAAGAGCGTTTTTTTTCCAATTCCTGTCGCTTAACTGTAAATGTAACTCAGTATGCATAATTCGTAATTTTAAGTTTGATCTGTAGACCTATTATACACTTAAGGAAAAGCCCTTTATTGAATTTGTCTATTTATGACATTTGTGGTAGTTAGATAATATGAAGGATAATATAATGACGCATATCTCTGATCTTTAGAAAAATAACTTGTATAACGGTTTCCGAGATTTCCTTAAAAAAACAATATGTTGACGGCCAATTTGGTCAGATCGGTCAACGCCTCGCACGCACTTGATATAATTTAGTAAACCGCTCATGTAAATTAAGTTAATGAGTGGCACTCATAGTTGGAGTTGATGCAAAAAATAGCGCTGGCAAGTGAGTGTAATCGTTGGAGTACAAATGGTTAAAGAGATTATTTATTCAATAATTTGCTTATTGAGATTAATTAATTTCAGATATTTTCTCAATTGTTTTTAAAAAATAATTGTTTTAATTTCATTTTCTTTCACAGCCATTTCTCAAAGATCAAAGATTTATGATAGCAATAAGCAATTTACCAAAGATATTATTGGGTTTATTTAGAATTCGAATTTTGCCTGGCGTTGCATAAATGCATTGCAAACCGTTTGTAAATAATTCAAGTATAGTTTAAAAACGCAATCAATCTCGGCCGAGAAAAAATTGATGAAAGATTTTCATAAAATTAAAACAGAAGAATTCATAACCTCAAAATTGAGTTAAACAACTAATATAAATATAAATTAATATCGCTGTTAACTATATCCGGTTTTATGTTTTGTTTCTTTTTTTTTTTACTTTTCATTAACACTGCATCTTCAATAGAAAGCACTCAGCGAATCGGTGTTAAGTCAACTGACTGATATTTATAAGAATTTCAACGCCTTATGGGATGGAAATCATATGGCATTTATTATAAAAGAGAAACGTCTCGAAACGTTGGAAAGTCTGCAGAAAGAGGTGAAAGAAAAAATGAATCTTGATTTGAGCATCTTTCGATTAGAAAAGCAACTCACTTACATTCATAAAGCCTATAGTAAGGATAAACGTCGTCAATTGGAATGTGAAACGCAAACGCCAACACAAACGCAAAAACAATTCAAACCTACCTGTGAATATTTTAATAAATGCGATTTTCTTGCGAATAGTCAAGGACCGTTTCGTTGTTCGATTTGCCAAGCAATTATTGAGACATATAATGATTTTCAAATACATAAATCACAGCATGATGACAGTACGCCATTTAAATGCCCCGAATGCGGTTTAGGATTTAAGAAAACCAATAACTATAAGTTGCACGTTAGACGTCATTTAAACGCATTTAAGTATCGTTGCAATATCTGCGATAAAGGTTATCCACTTGCCGGTGAATTAGATCTGCATATGCGTTATCATACAGGAGCTATGCCATATTTGTGTTCCAAGTGCGGCGAAGCTTTTCGTACAGCCATGGCCTATGATAATCACATACGACGTCATGAGAAACGTTTTAGATATTTTTGCCATATCTGCAAGAAGGGCATTAATCTTATGTCACAACTTAAGGATCACGTTAAGACGCATCTGAACGTACGCGACGTTATCTGCCCGATTTGTGGCAAAGGTTTCGCTACATTTAAATATATGAATCATCATAAACGCATACACGAGGCTAAACGGTATACTTGCGACATCTGCGGGAAAAAGTTCGCTCAGGATGCCGGCTTAAGGGCTCATAAAAAAAGCCATAAAAGACATTCCTTTATTGTAAGCAATACGTTGGTAGCGTAGCGACAACATACGTAATTTCTAAGAAAAAAAAAATTGCATTTTTATTTTAAAATATATGTGTGCGTATGTATGTATGGATGTATGTAAATGGTATGAAATATTTGCGTGAAATAAATTATTTTAATATACTCTATATCCGCCTGAGTGGCCGAGTAGGCAAGAGTCTCGACTAGCAACTCAATAGTCGTGGGTTCAAACCTCAAGTGCGGTAGAGTTTTTTAATAAAAGCCGATAGCCCTAGATGCTAGTGCTTTAAGACTTTAGTCTTAGAATTTATTCTCTGGCTAAATTTATAATAATAATAATAATATACTCTAAACAAGTCAAAACACGGTCTAGTGAGTCGCGGTGCACTTCCCGCCACTTTGCTTAATACAGCTGTGCATATAAATGAATTTTTAAAAAGATAAAAGATCCGCTTTTTGGAAAGTGGTTGAAAACATGGTACGATCCGAATCATTTTCAGTAATGTTCGCTCTTGCGCCAAAACACAGCCGTATACCAAATAGATTGAACGCAAGAAAACAAGTTGGACAGACGAGCAGACATGATTAAATCGATTCAGAAAGTGGTTGGGGTCTATCGGAAGCCCTTCTGGGTGTTACATGCATCTGCACAAACTTAACATACTCTTGTACCACAAGTGGTGCAGGCTATATCAATCATCTTAGAGAAAAAGGCACTCAAATAATCAATAAATCTCTCGCGAGGTTTTTTGTGACTTAAATATTTAAATTCCGTTCTACTTATGAAAATCTATTGCAGATCTCTGATTCTCCACGATTATGAAAACGAAAATGTTGTATGAATAATCAATTGGGCCATAGCTGAGGCCTTATATTATCCTATCGATCTCTTTTATAAAGTGCGTGTTTTCTCTATGTTGTGGATGGGCGAATTAGTTTATTTCTTCACCGAAATTTTAATTGATTCTTAGATAACTATATACAACAAATTGGAAGATATATATTATTGCAAATTCTTCATATAACGTCTGTGGCAATCAATAAAGAGCACATGTATGCATAATATTTCACAGTATTCGAACAACAGATCAACAAGTTTAAACTGTTTAAATGTTTTACGCTGATCACGAGAACATGCATATTTACTCTGCAGTGAATAAAATAAAACGGAATATATAGGATCGAAACTTGTTCGAGTCTGATCAAAACGTTCCGTTAGTTCTTAAATGTGTTCTTAACTAATCCTGCTAAGTTCATTTTAAATCTCAACAAATTTGCGCCGGCCACAAATACGTTGGAACTGGTATTTTCAATCCTCAAAAATTTCCGAGTTTGGTTTTTCCGTTTAAATTTACACCAAGATTTGCTCATAATTTGCAAATATTTATAAATATACAATATATTTATCTATGACATGCAGTCAAATCATATAAAAGCTTACTTGCTTACTGTAGCAAACTGGCTTAATACAGGTTTGAAATTTATTAAAAATGTGAAAAATAAATTATTTCAAAATTTAAAAAAAAAAATGTTATGTTCCCGATTATGTTATATTATAGAAGGATTAACGGCATTAAGCGGCTGACATAATTTTCGTTTTCGGATTAAAAACTCCCAAGTTGTAAATACAATGGACCGTCGTGCTACGCAAATGTAAGCAACACATATGTTTTTAAAAAAGAAAAAGAAAAATAATTTAAAAAAATAATAATAAGAAAGTCAGTTTAAAAATAAATATTGAAAACGATTCATCGGATATATGTAGATGTATATATTAGATATATCTTTGCGCATTAATTAATCCATAATTTGGAAGCTACCACTTATTACTCTCCAAAAAACCATTCAATGAATATATTTTAATTTTAAAATACCTTTATTTCTTTTTATGCGTTGTTTGTTTTTGCTTTATTTGCATCTACGCATGCAAAACCATATGATTGGAATCATAAAGTTTTTTAAAAGTTCTGCAATATTTGAATGTCAATCCGAAATAGGAATAACGCCTCGTTCTGTCAGCCCCCTTAGAAGTATTTCTTCGCTTAGTGCTAAACTTAATGCAATGTTTCTGTTGTCAGCGCAGTCACCACTTTATCGTTGCCAGGTTGAATCAATTCAATCTATAGAATGGATTCTTGCTTTCTGCCCTAAGGAGTTTGGGAGCTGACACAATGGGGCTTCGATTTTATTGTCATGGCTGCGGGAGACATTTAAATTACAAATTTTTCATTTTCTTTACTTTTAGTATAAATTTGTAATATTTTTCCAATTTTTAAAGAGCACAAATTGAATGTGAGGATTGGGACGCGTTAATCCTTTAATCCCATCGCAAATTGCTAGATTGCTTATACATATCTTGTGTTGACATTGAGAGGTAACCCAGATTGTTGTTTGAATGGGAAAGAGTTAACATAACAACTATTAACTGCCGCCGCTTGGTGCATATTTTTGATAAAAAATACATTAAAGATAGTGTGAAACAAAAAATATATAAATAAATAAATAAATAAAGAAAAAGGATGCCGCCTTTATTAGACGAATCTGAAGCAAATATTGTTAGGCGTAAATGTGGCGATATAATGATAACAATAAAAAAAAATACAAAAAAAGTTTTTGAGTTTAATTGTTTTTTTTGCGATACAGTTTGTTTACAAATGAAAAAATTCACTTTACATTTGGAGCAAGAGCATGATAAACAATTGGAAGCACATAGGGATGCTAATGAGTTGAATAAGAATCATCTTATAATTGGTGACGATAATAAGGACAATAACAAGAATAAAGCGGATGTGAATAATATAAGAGCTAACCATAAATATGATAATGATGATGATAATGATGATGATGCGAATATAGATAATTCAGATGGTATTAGCATATTTATACCGGAGGTGAAGTTAGAGAATTGCTTGGAGGAGGATGTTAAAACCGAAAATGTCAATGAACACCGAGTCACAAGGCATACAAAAAAAGTATTAGTTTTTTTTTTTTCATTGAACCTCAAGTACATGATCTTTCGATTTAATAATAAAAATTTATTTTATTAGAAAGAATTAAGGTTGATATCAGCGGATCCATTAGATACGTTTAACAATCACTTTGGCGAAGATCCTATCACAGCTATTAAGAGAGAATTGGAAAAATCACAAAAATCTTTTACGAAATCAAAATGTAAAAGTAAAAAAGATTTTGTAGAAGAGACGAAGAATAATATTTATGAAAATAATATCACACAGCCGGCATATTATTCTGATGATAATTGCAATGATGTATATAATGAACAGGTAAATGAATCAGTTTTTATGAAAGATGATAACTTGAATTTTTTTTTGTATACTTTTACACCACTTGTAGTATAAATTTGTACTGATGTATGTCAGAAAGACTTGAGATAGACTCACCTTCTATGACACCGATCGATTCAGAAAGTGGTATTGAGCTTGTCTGTCCGTCTTGTTTTCTTGTGTTCAATCGAGGCCGTAAATTTTTGAGATGTATTGGTGAAATTTGGTGCAGGGGCGTGTTTTAAACCAAGGACGAATGCTATTGAAAATAAATCGGATCGGACCACTTTTTCGACTTCTTCTGTCTAGTCGTTCTTTGAAAAGTCGTTACGGGAATAACTGTAGGGTGGTTTAGAGTATTTAATGGTGGGCCGTACCACATTATAGTCTTTTTAATTGTTTCTATTTAATTAGCTTAATAATGAGAACAGCATTCACTCTAGCGATGGCGATAACATCAGAGAAACTGACTTTGAGGTAAATTTTATATACATATATATATATATATTTATTTTGTTTTTTTAAAAGAAATGATTCTAACATTTAATATATTGCTTGCTTACAAGAGCGAGGACGAATGTATCGCATTAAAAAAGCCCCGTAAGCGTAAATCACCTAAAGAAGATGATCCCCGCGTTATCTCAGTTCTGATAGATTTATTTAAGCCTCACGAATTCTTGTGGAACTCAAGGCACTCCAAATACAATGATATACAATTAAAAAGAGATACTCTACAAAATATTACCGACGATTTGAATGAAAAATTTAAAGCTAAATTAAAACTGGAGACGGTAAGGAGGCAAATAAACGTACTGCGTCGTGATTATGCAGAGGAAATTGAAAAGCGTATGGATTGTCTGCTAGAGCAAGAGGAAACTTCCTGCTTGTGGTATTATGATAAAATGGAATTTTTAAAGCCTATCATTGAATATAAGTTAAAGAATAGAAGTGTAAGTTTTCTTTTGCTTTTTATTATAACTTACTTCTGATAAATTCAAAAAATATTCTTTTAAATTTTTCAGAAAATTAACTCTTATAGAGTGGTAAGTAAGATAATCTACACGCGTATAAAGTTATTGCATTTATTATTAATAAAAACTGTGGATGCATTAGTTACGCCATTCCCTATATTGTACCCAGATGTGTATTTCCGACATCTTATAAAGTGGGATATTATTATTATTATTATTATTATAAATTTAGCAAGAGAATAAATTCTAAGACTAAAGTCTTAAAGCACTAGCATCTAATGCTTTCGGCTTTATTAAAAACTCTACCTCACTTGAACCCGCGACCATTGAGTTGCTAGTCGAGATGGGATAAAATATGTATGCGATACGTGTATTCCTATGTAATTCTTGAATGGATAAATCCGCAAGGAAAACTAAATTGATATGCCAAAACTATACTTTTATTATTAATCTTGAGGCTACGTCATCTAAAAAAGAAATCAACAGCACATTTGTAAGCACTACGTTATTACGAAAACGTGCGCTATTCTCTTCATTTCTAAAACTATTTTTTTGTCTTATTAACATGTGACTAGAATTACGATTATAAATTGACGCAATGTACACGTGATATGGTCGAATGTGAATTTTAATAAAAACAAGTAAGAAAATTCTATCCGCTCGTGCCCCAATCTTTTATATCCATCACCGTTATCCTAAAAAAGACTTTAAAAAAATAAAGAAAAACAAGTAACTTTTCATATTCTATAATATTGGGTGGGCGTGGCTGTTTTTTTTTTTTTCGTTTTCTTCAAAATAAAAGTGGGAATTTATGTGGTGTATGTGCTATAGCTTGTGAGTAACGAATGAAAAACATGGAAAGCAAAGGTGTTCATAGTTTTTGTCGCATAGGCTTGTGGGAGTTTTGGCTCATTTCAAAGTTTTTTCCAAATTTGTAGACGATCTCTTCATTTTTGCGAACGGAAGAATATATACTATAGATACTACATAGTTAGACAGACGGACAGATGGACAAGCTTAAGTTCATTTCGAATTTGAAACTGGCCTAAAAATTCGTATACTTTGCGGCGTTTTTGAAACTTGCTTCTGCGCGTTATAAAAGTAATGAAAAAAAATTAAATTTTCATACACCATAATATCGGGTAGGAGTAGTCAATTTTTGTACAGGTACTACAGCGTCATCTAAGGAATATAAGTTCAAATTTTTGTAGATTGATTTTCTGTAGTTTACGAGAAATGAGCAAAAACCAATTTTTAATCCCTTTTGAAAGAAAGAGATGACCTTACATTAGGTAGACGGTACTGTAAGCGTGTCCTCCGGCCGACAAGAATTTCCAATGTTTCCGCCAAATTTGAAGCGCATAGCATTTTTGCGGCTAGGAGGATGTTTCCGATAGACATTACACGGGCGGACAGACGGACATGCTTAAATCGATTCAGAATTCCCTGCTGAGCACGAATGTATACTTTTTGGCGTCTCTGACGTTTCCGTCCGAGCGTTGCTAACTCTTTGACAAAAAAAATTTGTTTTTCATTTAATAATTTAGCGTAATCTGAGATAAGTCATCCTCTTATCTTAGATAGTGAATATTCGTCATAAGGCGAATTTAACCTTTCTATTTATGTTTTGGTATTTTATAGAAAGCACTCAGTGAATCTCTGTTAAGTCAATTGACGGACATTTATAAAAACTACAATACTCTATGGGATGTTAACCACTTGGCGTTTACTATAAAGGAGAAGCGGCAAGAAACTTTAGAATTTCTGCAAAAAGAAGTCAAACAGATAATGGGTCTCGATTTGAGTACGTTTCGTTTAGAAAGGCAACTTAATCACATACATAAAGCATATGCAAAAGATAAACGCCGCAAATTGGAAGCTGAAGCGGATGAAAAAGAATTTCAGGCATATTGCGAGTATTTTAACAAATGCGATTTTCTGGCAAGTAATCAAGGCCCGTTCCGATGTTCAAATTGTCAAATTTTAATCGACACTTATAATGATTTTCAAATACATAAATCGCAGCACGACAACAGCATGCCATTCAAATGTCCCGAATGTGGGCTGGGCTTTAAGAAAGTCAATAATTTTACCGTTCATGCGAAACGACATCTAAAGGTTTTCAAATATCGCTGCAATATCTGTGACAAAGGCTATCCATTTTCAGCGGAATTAGATCTGCATATGCGCTCGCATACGGGCGCAATGCCGTATTTGTGTTCAAAATGCGGCGAAGCGTTTCGCACTGCCATTGGCTATGATAATCATATAAGACGGCATGAGGAACGCTTTAAATACTTTTGTCATATCTGCAAGCGGGGTTTTAATCATATGACGCGTCTTAACGATCACGTAAAGGCTCATCTGAACGTACGCGATGTAATTTGTCCAGTTTGCGGTAAAGGTTTCACAACACGTAAATACTTGAACCATCATAGACGTATACACGAGGCTAAACGTTATACCTGTGATATATGCGGGAAAAAATTTGCTCAAGATGCCGGATTAAGAGCGCATAAAAAATATCATATACGACGACCAATTGCCGGCAATGTACTCGATCAATATCATTGTTTGCAAATGGAATAAAAGATTTTTAAAATAAGAAAACAAATCATTTTTTCTTTTTAATATTTTTATAATTAATATTAATTTATTATTTAATTTTGTATTTTAAGTATAGCGTAAGATTGTGTGTATATATGTTGTTCCTTTTATTTATTTATTAGTTTTTTTGTTTTTTTTTTTGTTTTGTGTGTGTATATGTGTGTAATTTTATTTAAATAAGTTTAATAAACAAATTTGAAATTATGATAAATATTAGTTTAAATTTTAAGAATTTTCAAATATTTTTTATTTTAATTTATATTTTCGTTACAGTTTTGACTAAGAATACATAATAATAAGAATAATAATAATTCTTAGATTAAAAGGAAATTGTTTTATTATTATTATTATTTTATTTATTTATTTTTATTTTTTTTTTTTTTGTTATTCTTTTTATATCATTTTGTATCAGATTAAGTGGGTGTTCGTGTTCGAGTTAATATGCTGAAATATCGCTTTTTTTTAATTATTAAATTTTTTTTTTTTTATTATTTTATTTTTCTCTTTTTATAAGCTCTAGAAAACCACTACAAAAATTTTATTTAAAATGAACTTTTCGTTTTAATTTAAATTTTCTTTTTTTTTTTATTGATTTATTTTTATTAGTTTAAATTTAATACATTTTAGGTTTTTTCTTCTTTTATTTTGGAGAGTAAATATTTGCTTTTGTAAATATTAGAATTAGAATTTTGAAAATTTTCTATACTAAAACATATTTGAACAAATGCCGCTTTGACGTAGACTTAAAAAGTTTTGCATAATTTTTTCATTTCGTATTTGAAGTTCGCTTTGTTTTCCTTTTTCTATCGTGCTAGTTCTGACCTTGGGTTAGGAAAGTGTTTTTTTTTTTTTTTTTTTTTTTTTTTAAATTCACAAAAATGTTATTTTACTGATTAATAAATATGGATACAATGGCACTTCAGTGTACGAAAGTCTTTAGTCTTTAGTAATGAAAAAGATCAGCCCATGAACGCTATTCTGAGGAAGATAGCTCCTTTGCTTTTTCGCTCCTTCCTAGGCTCGCCTCAACTGCTAAGAGATAGAATAAAAAATAAACTTATTGGTCACCGACCAATTTCCAATTGGCGGGAAAGGATAACGATGCCTTCTCTTGTGGACGGAAAAGTGATATCTAATTCGAAAGAATTTTTGGAAATAATCGATCACTTTTGCATTCCCTGCGTATACGTCGCATGGAATATTATCTCTAAACATATATTGAAAACGTCTTAGATAAGGCTATGGCCGAAGTAAAGCGCTTCAAAAAGGCAAATGAGACTTTTCTATAAAGGAGATCGTAGCAATTGAGAAGTGGGTTAGGGAATGGGGGTGTCGAGTAGCGGCAGAGTTGGCAATGGGGCGTGTAGTGGTGAAATCAAAGATTAAAATTTCAAGTGCCAAGAGGCAGAGAGAGAGAGAGAGAGAGAGAGAGAGAGAGAGAAACAAGTAATTTGTAGTAATGAAGTTCAATTATTACTTAAGAAGCATCGAAATGATGATCCCTACTACGTACTAAGTACCTATTGTGACTGAACTACATTATGTACATATATATGCTATATATTTTATTATACTGAATAAATTTGACTTTGAATAGAGTAACTCAGGAGAATTTCCTCGGGCGACAGACGAATCGGATAAATTAAATTCGCGAGACATACTAAGTTTATAATTCCACAGCAAGAATATTATCTAACGTGCGAGAAAGATTGAATTAAAATATTTGAAAACTTTTAAAATGAATGCATTTTTTAAACACTCGCGTCAGGAATTTTCGTCTGCAAGCAATAGTTAAGCTTAGGTGGTTTTCATAATGAACGATTATTTAGCGTAGACTTAGTTCATCGTTTTCGATGAGCGTCGCCAATTGAACTGCATGCATATGATAATATATGCTATAGAAAACTCGCTCCCAACTATAGTGTAATCAGGTAGCTGTCGGTAGCAAGTTAGCCTTAGCTCTCGCTCTTGAATATTTACCAAAGAATCATGAAAATGAAAAGTTTTTCATACGTTATTATTGATGAATTATATGTAACCTGAAGGATATTGATGATATTGATACGTCCACGAGATAGCGTTAATATTACCTAAGCCTGGACCAACGAGCTGAATAGCGTTTTTTTTTTTTTGCATTTTTGTTGCGAGACAAGGGTGTAGAGATTTCGGAAGAATTTTTCCCACTTAAAAAGCTAAGATACATTATTGAAGTTAAAAGTCGGCAGATGGCCTTTATTAGTTTCGTTCGAATCGAACGATGCATTCGTACTGTAGCAAATCGGAAAAACAAGAAAAAAAAAAAAAAATTGCGCCTGAAATTGTCGGTAAGAAAGGTTTTTTAAATCACATTGCATAGGTCAAACGAGTTGGATGAAAAATTGTTGTCGCCTTCATTATGTTGCACCGATTTAGTATCGTGTATCAGACCGATGTTTGTTTCCATCTTAATATGGTAAAAATTAGTTTTAAAAAAAAGGTTAATAAAACAAAAAAAGAAGCCCTTCTTAAGGAACAGTAGAAGCATAATAATAATGATCTTATGATGTGATCGGAAAAATTTCCATAATAAAGGTAGTCTAATCCTCGTACAAGGGAATTCGATTTAAATTTTATAGTATTAAAAAAGAGAAGAATGTCATAAGAATTTAATAAGAAGAATGCTTTTTATATATGTTGAATATCAGGGATAAACCTTCACAATAGATTCAAATTAAGATTTGAAAGACACCTTACATCGCCACATCCTTTCGCAGAAATTGTTTGAGCTGTTACGAGTGGACTACATCCATTTGAAATTTGCAATTATCGCCTATCAGCGAAGGACATATGCATTCAATTTTTATATCCATCACCGAAGGATAATGGGTATTTTCATTTTGTCAAAGCGTTTGCGACGGCGTATATTCCTGATCAGTATCGAATTCTCAACCGATTTAAACGTGTCCGTTCTCTGTCCGTCTCTCTGTCCGCTTATGCAATGTTTGCTATAAATATTTCCTTGGTCAAAAAATTCTTAATCGATCACAGTATACGCCTACAACGACTACACGCCTATGCAGCAAAAACTGTGAATACCTTGGCTTTCCGTGTTGTTCACTTCTTACCCATAAAGTATAACAAATCAGAAAAAATCATTTATAAGGAGTCATTATGGGAAAATTTGGAAAAGGGACAAAAATGACAAAAACATTGTAGGCGTGTTCTTTGACACGTTTGGGTCATTTTCAAACTCTTTGCTTACCACAGATACTACATAATTGGACTGACGAACACACGGACATCCCTAGGTGAATTTTGAAATTGATCGAGAATTTTTATACTTTATGAAGTTTTTAAAGCAAGCTCCTATGCGTTATAAATTTATAGATAAAAAAAAATTAAACTTTGATATACCATAATATTGGATGAGTGTGGTCGAATTTTTCCAATTTTCATACAGTTCCTACAGCATTATTTACAGAATATATGTTCAAATTTTTGTAGATGTAGCTGCAGTAGTAGTAGTAGTAGTAGTAGTAGTAAGAGTAATAAGCAAAAAGCGGAATTTTTATTTCTTTTGAAAAACAGAGGTGCGCTTAGTTTACATGGTACACATGGTAAACGTGCGCCTATTTTCAATGCCAACTTGCGTTCAATGTTTCGGCCAAACCTTTAAGTCGATAGCTTCATTTTTGCTGTCAGCAGATATTGCTGTTGACAGCACAGATATTATGTAGACGGACAGATGGACATACTTAATTTGATTCAAAATTTAATGCCAATCAAGAATATATATCACTTTATGAAAAGTCTGTGAAGCTTTCTTGTCATGGAATGGTATATAACCTTGATGCTTCGTTGTTGGGTACAATAAGGAACAGAAACGGTTAGCTTTCAATGGTCAATTCCAACGTTAATCAAAAGGATAAAATCTACTGCGGTGAGAGTAAAAAGAGAGCAACGCTTTATCAATGAAAACTAAGATTATATCAGTTGCTGCACTTATGCAACAAACAACACAAAAAACAGTCAACCAAAACTTGTTCGCTTTAACGCTTTAAAATGGTGAAGAAGCGATTTCCTTTACGCCGATCAGTGTGATAAATATCGTAAGAATTTTCATTTGAATTATAATAGAGAATAAAAAAACTAAAGAAATGATATGAAACGTTTATTATAAGGTTGCGTCACGTTGCGTCACGTTTCGGCGTCATTTGTGAAATATTTAAATATCGATTATATAGTTGGGACTTTAGTTGAGACCCTTCTATCTCTGTAGAAATTCTTCAAATGTCGCAGAGTTGGGATTCTTAAAACGCCTGAAACTATATATTAAGCGAATACTGATTGAATTTAATTCTAGGAAAAGTGTCTTATTTTCTTTATATGTTCAACAGTTAGCATATATCTTCTGTGAAGAATTTGCTACGTCGTTTAAAGTTGTGTGTGTGTTATCTTTCAAACACAAATTATCCTAACAATTTCATAATCGCTTTTAAGGAAAACAAAAAAAAATAAAAAAATAAACAAAAAAAAAAAAACAAATAAGAAAATTCTATTCGGTTCGATAACCGAATTTTTTATACCCATCACCGTTTTTCCATTAAAAGCTAGAAAAGAAGAATAACCAAAAATACAAATATGCATACGCCATTATATTGATTAGGCATGGCTGATTTTTTCTATTTTTATATAATTATTTTTTTGGGAATTTCTGTCGTGTAATTGTCGTCGCAGTTTATAAGCAACGAGCAAAGGACACGGAAAGCAAAGGTGCTGCATAGGCGTGCGGACGTTTTGAGTCACCTTCAAATTCTTTTGCAAATTTGTATTCGATATTTCAATAAGCGGACGGACAAATGAACATGCTTAGCTAGGCATGCCGAATTTTAAACTGGCCAAGCGTTTTGAAGCTTGTTTCTGTGCGTCTCCTTCAAACAATTTCGCCTACGTTCAATCCGAATTGCAAGCGTGCAAGCAATTTAAATGGTTCTGCAAAATTTCAAATCGATAGCTTCATATTTACCGGCCAGGATAATGGACGTATAGACGGACAGATAGACGGACGGACGGACATGCTTAAATCGAATCGGAATATAATATAATACAGATATGTATATGCATTTTAGGACGTCTGGGAAGCTTCCTTCTGGATGATGGGTGTAAAAACAGGCCACTCATTGCCTTGCTTTCTGATTATTAGTAAGCTTATGTTCCCTTTGAAAATTTTCTATTTAACAAAACCTTTTTGTTTTTTTGCTTTTTTCTCTACATTAAATTTGGTGTTATGATGAGACCCGAATTGGGTTTCTTTTATTATTATTAATTAATTTTTTTTTTTTTTTTTTTTTATCTATATAATCTTTGGTATATTTTGTTATTGTTGGATTTTTGTTGAAATATTTTTAACATTTCTTCACAAATTTGAAAGTTCATCTATTTCGTTATGTAATATTTTAAGTAATTGGACTAAATTAAAAGTAAAATTAAATACAAGTCTATAACTGACTATGTTTAAATCGTTAGTTTGTTTGTTTATGTATCTAATTTATTTTACGTTAATTATGTACCGGCTACACACAACATCTGTCAATAAATGTTGTCATAATCTTCATATATTTAAGTTTTTGTTAAGTACGTTATATATGCATATACATAGATATAGATATATGCATATATATAAATATAGATATATGTATATTTATATACTTATATGTATATATTTATATTATATATTTAATATTATATATTTATATATGTATAAGAGTTTATCTGATACCTATAAATATTCGTTATATTGTTCCATAAATTTGTGTCTCCATTGAGGTGTGTATGTATGTGTGTATGTATATGAATTGCATGTGTAGGTATGCACATGCAAAAATACATATTTGTTTAAAACCAACCACCGGTGCCAAGTTTTGAGCTAAGGCCACCTATACCCTTGCCTAGAAGGTTACCCACCCGACCCGCTACCACATTTGTAACAGCCGCAGCCTGAGCGGTGACATCCTTCGGTTTGGGTATACTGACACGTGGCCCAACACCTCCACC